AGAACACCAGGCTTCGATTAAGGGCAAATATACAGAAAAGCTAAAGAGACAGCACTTCTGAAGACAAAATGCTTTCTGTGCTGTGGCGTTGTGAAAATACTTTCAGAAATCCTACCTGTCCACCGAGTGATTTTATTCCTGCTGTCTCCAATACAAGTAACTCAGAAAATCTGAATATTTCAATCCTATGCATATATATTCAGAAAAATGTCCCATTTTGGAGGTCAGGGTGTTTAGGAACAGGGAACATGTGGCCTTCCAGATGTTTCTGGACTAAATCTCCTATAACTTTCATTATGGGCTGGGGCTGATGGAAGTTGCAATCCAGTATATATATGGAGTGCTATATGTTCCTCAGCTTGGTGTATAGAATGACAGCTTTAAAGTTGTTATAGCTTAACATGATTTTTTTGTGTTCTCTGGTCTTCTGCAGTCCGAAGATGAATGGATAACCACCAGATCTGGCTCCTTCCCCCTGCAGGAATGGGAGAAGGCTCCTGAAATGAAAATGGCCAGTAGCTATATTCATGTGGAGATACACTGAGATCAGTTTATGGTTTATGGCAGTGATGGCAGACCTTTCAGACAGCAAGGGCCCAAACTGCAACACAAAACCCGCTTACTTATCGCAAAGTGCCAACACTGCAATAAAACCTGAAACCTGAGGTTTTAGTTTAGAAAAATCAACTCACAGTCAGTCCAAGCAAATATATATGGCTGGCCATGCGAAAGCTCGGATGAGTCACGGCTCATGAGTCGCGGCTTGTGATGTCATTGCATGGCGCCGCTACTCCCTTCCAAGCATGCACATGGCCACAATGTCTGCTGTTATCCAATGCTGGGCTCCTGGGGCGATGCTGGGGCGACATGAATTGCATGCCAAGAGAGCGGGCTCTGCGTGCCATAGGTTCGCCACCACTGCCCTGACCCAACCCTGGTGTACTCCCCTAACCTTAATATAGGGGTGCAATACCATTACAAGGGGAAATTTGGAAAAAGCCTTCCTTGAGTAACTTTCTGTGCAGCTCATCATTTCTGCCCATTCCAAACACATTCCAACCATCAAAATCATGCCAGGACACCTCGTTTTTCTAACCCAAACCCAGTGGTAGTGCACCTTTTAGGAACTGTGTGCCAGACTGCAACCCAAAACCCACTTATTTATTGCAAAGTGCCAACACTGCAATAAAACCTGAAAATGGACGTTTTAGTTAGGAAAAACAACTCACAGCCAGTCCAAGCAAATATATATGTATCCTTGGCAGCGCGCTGTCCGGCCATGTGAATGCTTGGACAAGTCATGGCTGATGAGTCCTGGCTTTTGTCGTTATCGCCTGGTGCCACTACTCCTTTCCGAGCTGCGCCTGGCCCGGATGTGTGCTGTTATCCGATGCTCGGCTGTTGGGGTGATGCTGGGACAACTTGGCTCGTGTGCTGACAGAGATGGCTCTGCATGCCTGCTGTGGCATGCGTGCCATAGGTTTGCCATCATTTGTTTATGGTGACTGCTTACTTGAAATTAAGTCCTGCTGGGTTGGTCATACGTGAAACAGATCCAGAACTCAGCTTAGATACTCATGGATTTCAATGGCTCTGCTCTGCTCTGTGACTCCTCCAGCCTATTGTACTCAGTGGAACCTTCTCTGCAGTTAGTATTTTATCCAGTGCTGCCCATTTGCCAGTTAGATAGCATTATCAGCAGAAAAGTTTTCACCTGCATCCTCCAAATCTACTCTAGAATTTTAGTGGATCCCACAGAGCACGTTTTCTTCCTGCAATATTGGAGGTAACCTTTTGTTTAGGAATGTAGGCTTAATCACTTGGTGGCGCCATCAGTTGCTTTACAGTTGGATGTTGTAGAACAAGAAGGTGGATCTCCAGATGTTTTAGGCTTCAAGATTTTCTGAAACTTTTCTATGAATTTCAGGAGCAGGAGCATAAGGAAGAGTGAATGCTTTGATGGCAGAATGTTTTGGGTTGCATTTCTTGATCTGGAAAGCTTGTGGCAGGGGGGAAAGGCCTGAGAAACAGCTGCCTTTCAGACTAGATGGACAAAAGATAGTATGACCTTGTATAAATCAAGAGGTTCTTCCAATTGCCAAAGAATCTTGAGATAGTTCTCACATCGCACAGCAGTTAATTCCACAAAATGCTATACGGTTTGGGACAAAGGACTACTTTTTTTCTCTGCTGGTTTGCCCACATTAAAGGCTTCTCCCCATGAGGAGTTCTTTGCTGGATTGCCATCAGCTCCTGCACACGTATTTTGCCCTGCAGACTTTTCCTTCTCTACCTTTTCATATGTTCCATTATGCAACCACAAGGGGACACTGCAGTCAAGCAGAATCGCAAAACGAAAGTAGCGTTTCATTTCGGTTCTTCCTGCCAAACTCTCCTACATCTTATAAAAGCCATAGAAATGTTTGGAAAGCATGGGAGGAGCCCTGGTCAAAGGCCTCTTCTTGTGTAAAGCACCCAGGAACTGCAATGAGTAAGGAATCACAAGCACACAGCAATGACTTGTGAAGAGAAGCCCGAAGACAGAAGCGCTCTCCTCACTTCCAAGCTCCCATTTGGTGGGTATGAATGCTTGCTGTGCTCCCCACTTTCCACCACGGTGTTAAAACTCTTCTGCAAGAACGAAAGAAAGGCCGTCTTACACTCTGGCTTGCAGGGGGGTTTTGGACTCACAGGGGTTTTTCCTGCTCTGCTGTGCTGTTCAGTTTTTGTGTGTGTGGTTGGTGCTCAGCTTTCTGCATCTTTGTCTTTTCATATGTTTTTGTGGTGAGCTCCTTTGGACTTTTACATGGAACGGTGGAACATGAATATGGCCATGAACAAACGAACGAACCATTTGTGCCATTTGAACCCACCTCACTCCAGCAGTGGAAAATGTGACATATCTTATTGTTCTAATTCTATTAGGCCAGAAATGGCCAGCTGGTGGCTACAGGCAGGATACAGTACACGGAACAATTTTATTGATTGGGGCTCAGTGCTATGGCCTAGATCTGTTGTTCTCTGAGACACATGGAGTTGCCGTTTCAGGATCACCTGATCTTGGGGTTGGGAGTCTGAATGCCAAGCCTCTGCCCTGACTCCTGTGCAGCTGGTACAGAAGGAATCGAGCTAGCTGCCTCCCCAAGATTACAAATCCCTCAAAGTAGAGAAGAAGGGGAGAAGCAGCCTAGAAAAAAATCAGGGTGGGAAGCAAGGTTGGAGCTTACAGGCAAGAGAAGGGCCAGGGTGACTGGAGTGCACTGCTGGAAACAGAGGATATATGAATGCTGATAGGCAAAGAGAACATTGCCTCTAATCAAAAGGTTGGATCCAGTGAATGCACGAGCACCTCGCTTGTGTGTACATTTGCTCGCAAGTATCACGTGCACCCATGTGCTCCCCGAAAGTATTTAAAGCTACCTCTATGGCAAGAGTCTAATCTAAATGACCAACTAGTTGAATCGCCCTCCGCTACTTGCCTTTTTCATCTCCTCTGCTGTGCGTGCGAGTGCGATTTCACTGTTGCCGAGTGTGCAGGCAATTTAGCCTCAAACATGCTCCGTGTTCGATGCTCCCAAGTGTTGTTTTAGATCCAAAGGCTTTGGATAAGAAAGGTGGGTCAGAGGTTGTTTGATGTTGCTGTAATTCACCTGGAAACTCAGTCCAATGGTAACAGTAACCTATACCTCTAGCATTTTTATCAGGGTCCAACAGCCATTCCAGATTTACCCCCAGCTGTGCTAAGTCTGTTATGCATAAGCAAACAATTACCGAAAATTAAGCATGAGAGGGAGCAAGCGAGAGATTTCAGATCTTTCATTTGGGCTTGCATCTCGTGCACCGGCTGTATGCAAGCCCACGTGCTGGCAACCGCGCATTCCTTACTGCCCGGTGACTCTGTAGAAAGGGGGCGCATTGCAAAGTAAAATGCATTCCTGTCATGAGCTTGACTTTCTGGACTGAATTTGCTCTTGTGAAGGGATGCCTCAAGCGGAATGCTTCCTACCGACTTGCTGGAGTGCCCCAAGCATGCGTTCTTGCTCGACTAAACATGCGCACATGCTTGCTCATGGTGCAATGTTAGACTCAAAGGAAGCATGCCTCCGTCTGGAGGCGAAGACAGGAATGTCTGAATGAGTGGAAGCGCTGACTCTTCTTTGTCGTGCAGAGGGCGACTCACTGCCGACGTCCAAGAAAATGTCCAGAGAGCCAAGAAATGGTGTTGGAGAAAATAGGAGGTGAGCAGCGTGAAGGTGAAAGAGGAGACCGTGAGCTTCTAGGAACAGCTGGCCATTAATTCTGCTATCTAGACTTGCATGCTCTTGGCTGCTGTGCAGGGTTGGTCTCACCCTTAAAACCTTGCTATAGCGCTGCGGAGTGACTCCAGCTCTCTGCTTTGTGTGGGCTTCCATGCTGTTCTCAGCTTTCGCCAGGTTTCTCCACATTCTAAAAAAGGGCAAGGCAATACATGAACCAACAGGACCTGCAGCAGCTTCGACTGGAATCAGTGTAGGTGTTGCTCCTCACCTGACAGCACCGTCAACTCTGGAACATAGGAATGCTGGTCAAGGCAGTGCAGCCCTCCCAGCCTTTTTGTTGCCCGCTTGGGTGCCCAACGATCTCTGCCCTCCTCACACCCTCCTGTAGAGAACACAGAGCAATTTTTTCCTTGCAGCTGCTGCTACTTGTCATGCTTCGAGTACAATATTATCTCGCTGTGGCTCAGAATTATCTGTTTCCAGAGGCAGCTTATCACCAGGGCTGGGATCTCTGGCGTTGGTGCCCAGGAGTAACGACATGAACAGGGCCCCTTGACGCTCCTGATAACATCTAATTTGCTTTATTGTCATTTTTAAAAATACACATTTTTTTACTGGGAGGCTGACATATTGCAAAGGGGAGTGCCAGCCCCTCTCACACCTCCTTTTTCATAGAGGCCCCACAAGCATTCTTAGAAAATTAAAATGGAGAGCGGGGCAGTCCTGGGAGGCTGCCGGAGGACCAAAAGACGAGGGAAGTCAAGTGTGGGAGGAGTTTAGAGATCCTGGTTCTCTTGTCCTGTGAGTGAGTGTGAATGTGTGTGGTGTGTTCCCTGCTTTGTTTACTTTGCTCTCTGTGTGAGAGAAGGGTGTGTGTGTGCTTTGTGTGTATGTGTTCTGGAGTTTTCCTTGGGAGTGTTTTGGTGGGGTTTTGAGTGTATGTGGTGTTGCTGGTGAGACACCTGACCTGTGAGGGGTGGATTCATATTTCTCCAAACATCACCAGTGCATTGTGGGGGTGGCTTTGGCCGTGGAGCCCCAACCCCATCGCTGGTGCTGGGGACAGGCGCTGGAGCAGGAAAGTGTGGGTCCAAAAGAGTGTTTTTGAGGTTTGGAGCTCAAACCCAATCCTGCCTTGAACTTGGCTCATGGGCAAGCTACTCACCTCTCAGCTGCCCCAATCTGCCTTTGGTGTGGAGCCATGGGCCACCATTCAGCTGGCGACACACGCCTGGCATCTCGAATGTGCCTGCAGGCCAAAGGCTGAGTCTGGTCTGGATCCTGACCCATTGCATGCTCTCCCGTACTCTGCTGCTGAGCTGCTGACCAAGGCCGCCCGTGTTCTCTAATCTTCTGACCAAGTCTGCCGTTCTAAATCCTGGCATGCTCACAAGGCGTGGGCTCAGTGACCAGGGCCTGAGACAGTGAATTTACGATGCTCACCTGGACAGGTGATTGTTGCAAAATGTCAGTGCTGTTGCTTTTTAGGCAGCTTTCCACAAAGTGATGTCACCCACTGGTGTTGCATTACAGCTCCTATCCCCCCCAGCCAGGAGGATGATTGCCTAATGCATCTGGAGGGCACCTGGAAGCTGCTTAAAGGCCATCTCCCAGAGAGAGGGAGAGGAAACTCAAGTCCCAGGGCTAGAAAATGGGAGGACTGTAGCTGCAAACTGGCATTATACTCCAAACAACCAGAAGCAAACAACCCGCTCCCCCATCCTGGCTACCTTGCTTCCTCTTGTTTTTGACATAAACAGGAGATATGACTTGGTGTCAGGAGCTGATCACAGAATGAGAGTTGCATCAGGAGTTTCTCAGGCCCCGAAGGAAGGGGCACGCAAGACGAAAGAGAGCAGGCAACTTCGTGAATGAATCTGAGGATGCGCCTGGTCAGCGGGACCCCTTTGACTGTTGCCACCCACCACTGCAGGGCGCCCTGCCTGGACGTGCGCCCGTGCTGCAAAGGTGCTCATGATGGGCACCTGCTATGTCAACGGACGGAGGCTTTGTAAAAGCCCATCACACATTTCCATATCTCAGTGGGTGAGGATTCAGGCCCCAGCTCAAATCTGAGTGATGTTGTTTTACGCAGGTCAGAGCCTGACATGCCTCTGATTCGTTGAGCCTTTGAAATGAGCCCCGTGAGATGGGATTCCTCCAGTTTTGCGGCTGTTCATACTTGGAATGACACACCGGGCTTGTCATCACGCTCTCACTTCCCCTGCAGGCAAGAGCAGCCCACCAAACATGGAAGAACACGGGAAGCCAGCGCTGAGATCTGCCCTGAAGACCCCTGAACAGGATTCTGCCCTGAAGCGCGCCGTCTCCATTTGGACCCCAGCCATTCCCAGAGCTTTTTGAAGTGACTCCAATTTGAAAGGAAATGGCAACAGCAAAGGATCAATTTGCATTCTGTGCGCAGATGGTGAGCCTGGGTCTGCCGCGCTTCATATTTGTGTGCTGAGAGTCAGTGAGTGTGTGTGTATTTAAATACACAGTGGAAGCCTGCAGAGAAAACAGTCGTACTGGTGGAGCAACACAGAATATGGAATCCAGACCTTCTCCTGATGGCTCTTGGTTTAAAAAAGAAGCAGAAAACTCTTGGCTACTTTGTCTTTCAAGAGGAGCCCCCACCCATTCTTAAAAATTGGCTGCCCTTCCAAAATCACTGGGAATCTGCCCTTTCCTGTGGGACAACATTCCCACAAGGATGGGCAGTGGCCATTTGGAACCCTTCTCTCCTGGGAGGTCTCAGGAGCTCAGCCGGTGACCTGAGCAAAGGCGAAAACTGCGGACAGGTGACACACAGCCATAATGCTCACCTGATAATGTGGATGTGAAATATACTTCCAGCTAGCATAAATGAACTCACCTTCACATCTAAACACCATCTTTAGGAAGACTAAGAGTGCAGGCTGTCAACACAAGGAGAGGCCAGATGCTTCCTCATATGCGGGAGCAAAACTTCCAAAGGCCTGATGGAAGCAGCCAGGGTCATGAAGGGGGTTGATAAAAGAGGACATAAACTGCACCGATGAGGGGTTTAATTACCTGGGAAGCTAGAATGAGCAGAGTATTCATGCAGAACTATTTCAGCAAAAAGAAGTCAGGGATTATTAATCCTCATTCTCCAGGGCTGCATTACTTATCGCATGGAACCTCAGGCCGACAAGAAGTTCTGGAGGTTGGTGAATTGCAAGCATTTATTGGCAGCATGTGAGGTGCTTGCCAAAGGGAGAAAAACAGTCCTTCCATTTTCTCTCTCTCTCTCTCTTCCTTAAAACAACAACAACAACAAAAACAAAGAATTGCTCTTCGGGGTCCCAGAAAAGCACCTGGCCTTCTTCCTGTATCTAGGTCCTGTAATCTATGGATTTCTACCTGTGCCTACATATTTGGGCAGGAGTGAAATGTCAGGAATTTCTCACTTTATTCCATGTTTTAGTAGATGCATTCTGAGTGGAAGGGGGATGCCACTCAAGGCAGCCTATAACATCAGGTGGGGAGGGCAACATAATGATGCCACATTATGGGGTAAGGAATCCCCACCTGTTGCAGGAAGGAAGGGGATACAGCAACACAGGGATGCCACTGGAAGTGGTACCCCATCTCACTGCCTTTCTCTCTCCACTCTCTCTCAGTCCAGTGCAGGTGGCCAATGCTGCAGGACTGGTCTTTTAGCTGCCGGAAGAGCTTGGAGAATTCTTCGGGTACTGTGAGGACAGCAGCTAAGCTCAGACTAGGGTACAAAGGCCTCAACAATTTGGCAGCAGGAGGCACAAGAGAAGGGCTTCTCCTCTACCACCCTGTCTGGTCAATAAAGTCATTGGAGGATCTCCTGGTGGTTCCACAGGGACCTGTGCTCCAATTTGAGGACACTGGGAGAAGGGTCTTAGTGTGGGGGGCCCATCTCTATGGAACTCCCTATCACTGGAGGGTGGGCAGGCAGGCAGGCAGGCAGGCAGGCAGGCAGGCAGGCAGGCAGGCAGGCAAGCACCAGCGCAGCTGTTTCTGGCACCTTCTGAAGATGTTCCAAGAAGCCTTCTTGCTGAATTGGCATGGTTTTAATGCTGACCTGGGTGGGATGCATAGTTTTATTCCTTTCCCTGTTTTATCTTTTTTATTCTTCACTGCTCTGGAACCTAACTAAATATGAAGCAGTATACTCATATCGTAAATCGATAGTAATAAAGATGCCATTTGCCAGTGACTTAGTTGTCCAAAAATCTGGAGGGCATCAGGTTGAGCAAGGTGGAACAAGATCATTGTACTGAGTGGGCCCTGAGGTGCCCCCGATCCTCCTCTGCTTTCAAGAGCGTCTCAGTCATTGCCACCAGGGAAGTGTGCATCGCCTCTCCTGCCTGTGCCAGTCTGATTTCTGCATTGGATCGAACGTGGCCGTTCACAGGCACAGGGGCTCGTCGGCACGAGTAGGCGTGTGCATCCACAGTGTGAATTAAAGGCAAATCTGTTGTTTAGATTTCAAGAAAATGAGATTTAGAAAAACAGAAGTCTTCCCTATCCTTCTGCCAAATGACTGCTTTTTTTAAACTTGGGGTTTTTTAAAAAGATGCAGCCAAGATGAGGGACTGCAGCAGCTGTGCAAACAGGGTTTTTTTTTTTTTGTGGGGGGGGGGAACAATATGGCAACCTGGCCCCCTAACAAACAGAAGGCAACATGTTGAGTGCAGATGGGATGCAATTTCAAAGGGAACCACTTGGGTCAGCGGCTTCATGTCTGGAGGAACGAGGCAAGCGCCTGCTTAGAGTTGCGAAGTCTCCTGTCATCATGGAATGGAAGACACTCTCCTTCCCGTGTTCTGAGCTCTTGTGCCTTCCATGAAGCCTAGAAAATGGTGTTCTAAGTCTGGAATGTGAAGGTACCAACGTCTTTCAGATGTCACAACAAAGCATGGTATGTGAGCAGAGAAGAACAAGCCACAGTCCCCTGTTTTATCGAACTATGGGGAATGATGGCTAGGGCAAACCAGTTAATTTTCCAAACCAGAGGATCTCAAATGTTATTTCAGGAGCATCAACTTCCAGTTCATTCCCAGGCACAAGTCAACATACCGGTTATTACCTATGAAGTCCTAAACAATACAGAGTTCGTTCTCCCAAGGGAGCTTGGCCACCTGCCAAGTTCATCACTGGGGAGCTTGTTCTACATCTCCTGGCCTTCAGCAGCTGCGAAGTGGGACAGGGCCTCCTTAGGAGCAATAGCGAGGCTATGGTAGCTTGGTTGGCTTCTCCCATTGTAGTGAATTGTAAAGTCATGCATACTTTGCCCAGCATCTAAACTGTTTTAGGGCATGATCCCTGGACATCCTGACATCATCTGGGAGGGCAAGATTTGTGGAATCCTATCTCTGAGGTCCTGTGACCTCAAAGCTGACTGTCCCCAAGTTTGTTGGTGGCTCTCAGAAGGGGAAAAGGGGGCATTGCAGGGGGAGGGGAAGGGGGAAGCCTCGGTAAGTGAGCTTATGCAGGTCCTGCTTCACTTTCTAACCTCCTTCCCATCCCCAGTCTAGATGGTCAAAAGTGAATGGGAGATTTGGTCCTCGATTTCTGCTCCCCTGCTTCTGCCTGACCAAGATGCTTCCATGCCCCTGGGCAGGCAAGACAGCTGCACCCTTAGATGACCTTTTCTTTCTGCTGCAGCGGTTGCTAAGTTCACTGCTTCCTTTTTTCATTTTACTCCGTTATTATGCTTTTATTCTATCTTTGTAATTTATTGAAAGCCTGTACAGGTAGCAGGCAGGGTAGAAATGTTTGTTTAAATAAATGAACATTTGCTTCTGTTGCTCTGCTGCCCCCAATTCCATCTCTTCCTCCTCCTCCTCCCTCCCTCCCTCCTCCTCCTCCTCCTCCTCCTCCTCCTCCTCCTCCAAATCTCCACTTCCTGTGTTCAGTCCCAACGGGATGTGGCAGTTTGTTCCAAGTTACACAAAGAAAGGAAAGGAAAGCAACTGCAGAAAGGCAACCAAAATGTCTTCCCCATTCAGTAAACCATAGTTTCTATTTCAAAACCTAACGGCACAGACCAGAGCAGGCCTGCTATGATATTTATTTAAACATGTATATGCCACCTATTTTGCCATGGCATCTCTATCTAGACTGTTAGCAACAGTTAATTAAAATACTTCATAAAACAATCAAACAATGGCATAAATTAATATAAAACTGGATAAAAGTATATTAAAAACAATGCAAGTGGAGGGTTAGGTAGTGACTAATAAATATTAAAACGTATTTGAAAGAGGTAGATCTTCTTTATACTCTGATTGATGCCAGGCGAATCTCCTTCGGGAGAGTGTTCCAAATGTGGGGAGCAGTGGCGGAAAGGCTTCTCCTCTGAGTGGCCACCCCTCCCACCTCCCTAAGGGACGGCTCATGCAAGGGGGCCTCCTGCATTGATCCTAAAGGCCGGGTAGATATATATGGGATACAGAGTTGGAGGAGATCTTCAAGTTTTTCCTCCTACTGGCATAGAAAATCTGATAGGGATGTGTGAAGAATCTAGTTTGGGGCTGGAAATCCACTGAATGTTCTCAGCTCAGCTCCCCAGACTAGAGTCCACTTTCTCTCTTCCCTGTTTCCACCTCTTGTGAGCATTTGTAGAGAGACAGTGTGGTGTAGTGGTTAAGAGCGTGGGACTCAGGCGATCTGGGTTCTAGTCCCCGCTCAGCTATGGAGCCAAATGGGGGACTTTGGGCCAGTCACAGCATCTCAGCCCAACCTACCTCACAGGGTTGTTGTTGTGGGGATAAGATGGAGGAGGAGATGAAAGCTGCCTTGAGCCCTTTGCAGGAAAAAAGGCAGGATATACATCGAAAAATAAATAAATCAAAATGAATAAATAAATGTGTGTGGGCACTGGGCAGAAAGGGGAGCAAGTGGAGTTTTGCTTCTGCCCACATGACTTGTGGGCTTTGCATACTTCACTCAAAGAATCATGTACTTCTTGTTTTGCACAAAGAATTATGCACCTGGTGAACTTTGCACAATGGAGCTGCTAGCACTTCTGAGTGCTTGTGGACTTGACCTCAGCTTGGCTGACTTCCTGGCCAAGATGGAGCTTGGGAAAGACGTCCAGCAAGTGTAGGAGCAGGATTCCAACCTGATCGTTGCATCCATAAACTCTCCTTGCCCGCTCTCCCATCCATGGTGGCCATCCATGCTCTGCTTAGAACCTCTAATGAAGAAAAGCCTTCCACCTTCCAAGACCATCAAAAAGTACTTCCTCATGTTTACTTGAACCCCTCTTTCTTGTAATCCGAAGCTGTCAGTTGGTTCTACCTTCTGCAGCAACGGAAAACAAGGTTGCTCTCTGACGGATGTAATGGTCCTTCACATATTTCAGAAGGGCTACCATATTGCCTCTTAATCTTCTCTCCTCCAGGATATTCACCTGCTTCAATCTTTCCACATTGGGTTTAGTCTCCAGGCACATCAGTTTGTCATGCTTGAGTCTGTCCAAAGCAGAACAGGGTTGTACCATTTCTTCCTGTAGCCTGAATGCTTCTGTTGAAGCATCTTAGAACTGTTTTCCCCCATTCTGTCATATCACACTATTGACTCAGAGTGAGTGTGTAGTCTTCTAAACCCCATAGATCAGCCTTCCCCAACCTTGTGCCTTCCAGGCACATTTGGACGGCAACACTCAGAATTCCCAATCAATGGCCCTGCTGGATGGGAATTCTGGGAGTTGCGGTCCAAATGCCTCTGAAGGCCACCAGGCTGGGGAAGGCTGCCTTAGATCCTTTTTACCTGTAGTGCTGCTAAGCCAGGTCCCATCCATTCTGTATTAATGCATCTGATGTTTCCCTACCTGAATGCAAAGCATTACCTTTTTTTCTGAAATTAATTTTGTCAGTGCTGGCCCCGTTCTCCATCCTGTCAAGATCAACCTGATTCCTGCTTTTGTATTTTAAGGTAATAGGCACCTTCCCAGGTAGGTCCCCTCTGCAAATTTGACCAGCATCACCAGCAGTCCTTCATCTGAGTCATTTTTAATGTTGTGGAACAACCCTGGAGCACTTGTCACTTTCTAGGCCATCAAGCAGCTTTTGATCAACACTCTCTGGATATGGACTTTCCATCAGCCGCAGTAATTTTGCCCATGTTTTACAATTTTACCAATGGAAATGGGGGAACTCGTTGAAAGCCTTGCTAAAGCCAGAAGAAACTACTTCTGATCTACAGAACTGGTAACTGGAAGCTTAAAAAAACAACAATTTGTTTTAAAGAAGCAAAGTGAGTCTGGCTAATGACGCATGGTTAATGCACCTTGGTGCGCATGGAGACTATCACTGTAGCACCAGGACCGGAGCTACGTGGCCTGGGAGCTGCTCACAGCCGCCATTCTCTGGGGCGGCCTCCACTCCGCAAAACATGCTGCTATGGAGGCTTAAAAAGGACAACTTTAGTGTGGAGATAACGTGTGGGCCACAGGAGCGTATGTGCATGTGGAGAGAGGTGAAACTTTGTTCCCTGGTACCCTCCTTGTTGTGCACCTTTGCTCTGGGCAGAGTCCTGAGTAATTTTGGGTCTCTGCTACTAATATATCAAGAAATCAAGGAAGATGCAAACAGACCCTTCGACAAGCATGATCCTTTGCAGTTGCTAAGCAACCTCAGAAAAACATCTCTGGCTGGGAGTAGTTTTGATGGGCCGTCCAGCATTTGCCTAGCAACTACAAAGAGTTTCTTTTCCCGCTATGGTGTGGGGGAAACGCTCAGCAGGGGCACTGAACGCTTTCCCTTTAAATGCCCGCATGGGTGCAAACATGCCCCATTGCGAGAAGCCAGGGGGCAGGCCATGTACGCCAAGTGGCGGTCAGACACCTCTGGCAGAGGTCACGTTGGGAAAGGTGCCACCAAAGGGTGCTTGAAGTAGCTTTTCCTGGAGGATGCTCCCCCCCCCCCCACTGCATTCTGGACTGGAAATGGAGTGTTATGGGCTTGCAGGGGCTGACCCCTTGCCCTAAGTCTTCCTCTGTGAACCGGGAAGACTTTAAATAGCGCCGAAAGGTCTTTTGGGGCCATGCTATGCATCTTTCCACAGAAAGAAGGTCTCTAAATGGCCAGCATTCTCCAGGGCACTACACTGACCAGGGAATGCTCAGAGTTACAAGGCCTTTTGTCATCTAAACCTGTATAGAAGTGTACCCTTAAGTCACAAACAGCTGAGCAGGGCAGGCTGAATCAAACTTAAAAAAAAAATAAACTGCAAAA